TCGAGTCACGGGTGGCGTAAACAAACCGAAGCAATTAAAGGAGTCATGGCACGAGGGCTGTGATTGGTCGAGAGGCTGTTAGCGTTAAGTGGCGGCGTCGCGAAGTCTGACCGTTGGACAGGTGCGAGCTGGCGGGAAAATGCCAGAGAGCCACGTGGCAATTAATTAAGGCTAATTGGAAAGGGGATAAAACGCTAGGTGATTTGAACGGGGAGTTGAGTTGTTGTTGGCGAGAGGTGGAGAGATACGAAGAGGAGAGCTGGCAAATGTTAGGGAAGAATAGAATGAGAGCCGAACCCAAAGGACAGTAAATAGCGATAGGGAGAGTTAGCGTTAGGAGAGACGTAGTTACGGGGGAGATAGGTACAGGGAGAGTTACAGATAGAGTCGCTGTGTGTGCGGAGATAGACAGAGTCACTGTGTGTGAATAGACAGGCAAGTCACTGTGTGTGCGGAGATAGAGGGAGAACCACTGTGTGTGGAAGGAGGATGAGTGGACGGTGCTGAGGTGAATCGGAGTGTCCGAGTTGGCGGAGTGTGAAGAGGAGGATTATAGTGTGTGCGGAACGATGGAAATAAAAGTGGCGGTGGAAGAGAGGCGGTTGTCGTCCGAGTAAATTCACGGCACTACACATCTATTATCATATTTTACGTACATTTTCACATTTTTTAAAATTTTAATTTAGTTTTAATATTTCATTCTTTTTTTTAAATCACAATATATTCAACACTGGACACCCTTACGCCAGGGTTGTTAGCTCGGCTATACATCCCCGCTTCCTCCAGGAGGTCATCCCAAGACTTGTGTGGACACAGATGTGATTCATTACCCCTTGGAATGGCTTTTGGCTTGTAAGAGATCGCCTCTAGATTATCCATGTGGCGTGGGAACGGCCTTCTCTCACTCAATAATATACAGTGGCAGTTATCTGCTCTGGTTATAATTCTCCCCCTAGGTCAGCTCAGCCTTAATATTAATTCCTGGTCTGGCATGTAAATATCGCTGCTGGGAAGACAAAGGTGGTCGGGTGTGGCTTTGGTTGTACCCCTTGAAGACAAGATATTGGTCGAATAGAATTGACAATCATAATATATATCTATAAAAATAATTATTTTTGTCCTGAATGATCCTTAGATTCAATGCTTTAACCTGAGCTTCAATAGCTCCATTATCATTCAGTTTTACATGCTTAACCCAGACCGTATGTCGTACCAGTAATTGTCAATAAGAACATGCAAAATAGTCATATTATACCTTTTTACCTGCGCTGTATGGTCATATAACAGTACATCCAATCATCAAGTTAACGTTTAATACCATAATGTTTGAATATCCTGTGCTGGTGGTGGGCATTTCAACTTCCCAAGGCAAGGATTGTGAGCAATTAACTGCCCAGATGCTGAGCGCCTCCTGTAATGAACACAGCTGAAACCGCAGGGGTACGCACTCCTTCGGCCTCCCTATGGCCTTTGTTGTCTCAAGGAAGAAATTGCAGAGGTCTGTGTCGCTGGTTATCAGCCCAAGCCACCAAGCCTGTTTAACACGTAGGTTATGCGACCAATATCATCCATAAGCGTTTTTTTTGTGAGATCGCGTAAATATAAAAGGTGTCTTGATTTAAAGCTTTCGTGACTGCAGGGATTCATATTCTTGGTTCTTTCGGTAAAGTTACGTAGAAGGGAAACAATAAAATAATAAGAATATAAAACAATAAAATTCTCACGACGTTTCTACTGCAACACAAGCAATCATCATCAGGTGTGAAAACCACAGCAAGAAAAATTGAAAAAAGTTTTCAAATTTGAAAAAAGTTTTCAAATTTTCTTGTTGTGGTTTTAACACCTGATGATGATTTCCTGTGTTGCAATCGAAACGTCGTGAGATTTTTTTTTAAATATTTTTATTATTTAGTTTCCCTTCGTGACTTTACCGAAAGAATCAAGAATATAAAAGGTGTCGTTAAAGTCCACCACCACCACCCGACACAGCCAACTTGTAAGGGTTGTCACGTAAACAGAACGTGGGCCAATTCGTCACTAGTACATCACACCGGTGTGTTGGAGAGCCAAGCCACAAGTACTCAGATTGTAAATGTTGTGGTGTCGCTCTCCAACACACCGGTGTGCTGTACTAGTGGCGAATTGCCCACGTTCTGTTTACGTGACAACCCTTACTAAAGGGACGCAGCACTGCGCTAGAAACCCAGCAGGGACCCGAGTTCGATTCCCGATCACGGCCACGGTTATCTAAGCTGGTCATGGGCCTCCCCTAGGTCAAATCAGCCTCAACCGTGTACCCGCAGCGGTGTGTAAACATCACTATCCCAACCTGCAGTGTGCTGTGCTGGCCTTCATGGGTGGTGCTCGCTAACAGCGCTTGCCTCAACAGTTCGTTAAAGGCTACCACGGGGGCTAAATCTGTATTTGTTTTGCCCCCCCCCCCCCCCTCCAGACTGTCCCCCTCCGATCCGTCCCTTCCGTGCTGTCTCCACACTTCTGAGTGAATAAAAAGCAAAATGTGCCGACCATTTGTAATTCATTTGCGTTGTATTTATTTGATAGCGTGTTTATGTCTCTACGGAAAATGTGTTGCTTATGGTGAATTTATTGCGATTTAATATACCGTTTAATAATAACATGGGATGCTTTGCTGCCGTTCAAAAGATGATGAAAAAGAATAGGCTGTAACAATTCCATCAATAATGCAGGAGGTGGTAAGACATCCATGCACAAAATACACCCATTTTGGCAAGGCATCGAGTCTGCATTCACGACACGGGGTGCTTTTTTTTTATAAAAAAACACGCAAATAGACTTTGACAATTAATACTATAATGCATGCATTATCCTTGCTAGTGATTGACCTACACCAGAACTACAGCCTCTTTTATTGCCTTGTCTCACTAGTTTTATACCAGAGAACAATACTAAATGGCGAACAGTACAATGACAATACAAATAGCAAAGCATTAATAGTGGGTGAGTGGGTGAATTAGTGAGTGGATGGGTGGTTGAGTGGGTGAGTGAGTGGAGGTCTGATTGAGTGTGTGGGTGTGTGAGTAGCTGGGTTCTAGAATAATCGTCTGATTATGTGAATGAGTGCTTTAGTGGCTGAATGAGTGCCTGGGTGAGGGAGTAAATTGGTGACTAACCAAGTTGATAAGTGGGTAATTGAATTTGATTGTCTATTAATGTGCATGTGGAGAGCATTGGCGTAGCAGGGAAAAACCCGGCGACCCGAGTTCGAATCCCGCTCACGACCAACATCAGTGACAATTAACTGAACTCAGCCTCAATTGAGTACCTGTTGTGGTGTTTGGTAAACATCACAACTGGGGAGACAAAGGCAAGCCGGACGTGCAGTTGGCCACTCACCCTCTCGTGTTCCGTGCCTACCTTCACAAGCGTTGCTGCTGTCTGCTAACAGCACTTGCCCCAAACGTGATTTAATACTATAGAGGGATCTTTGTCTTTGTGTCTTTAGATATATGTGTAAACTATACTAAAACATGTTTTACCAGGTAAGGCCATCTGAGTTATATATCTCTTTTCAGAAGCGACCTGTCACAAAATGATAGCTGAACGAAGTGGCTTATCATGTAGAAATTTATAAAGGTGTATAAATGTGAATGTGTATCTCTAAGTATGTCCATGCATATCTACATGAGTATTATCTCTCTACCCGTTCACCACTAAGTGGTGGTGCAGGCTAGGTGCGTGTGTGTTTAAACAAACAAACACACACACACGTGTGTCCGTGTATTGTGAGTGGGTGGGTGAATGACTAAGTTGGTGCGTGGGTGATTGGATTGGTGCGTGCGTAAGTGGGTGAGTAAATGAGTCAGTGGGTGAGTAGATGAGTGAGTTAATGGGTGGATGGATGAGTGAGTGGGTGAATGAGTGGGTGGGTGAGTAAGTAAGTAGGTGAGTAAATGAGTGAGTTTGTGGGTTAATCAGTGAGTGGGTGGTTGAATGAGTGGATGGATGAGTGAATGAATGAGTGGTGAGTGGGTGAATTAGTGAGTTGGTTAATAGGTGGGTGAGTGGGTGGGTGAGTGGATGAATGATTGAGTGGTTTAATGCGTGAATGAGTGAGTGGATGGACGAATGAGTCAGAGAATGAGTGGGTGAATGAATAAGTGGTTGGGTGACTGAGTGGTTAATGGGTTGAAAATGAGGGCGTTTGTGAGTAATTTAATGATTTATTGGGTGGGTTAATGAGTTAGTGGGTGAGTAAATTAGGGACATTACCACGGCGCATATGACAGGCCAGGTGCGTAGGTGAATGAGTGGATGGGTGAGTGGGAGCGTTGTTGTTTGAGTGAGTGAGTGGGTGGTTGAGTGAGTTGGTGGATGAGTGAGTGGACGTGAGTGGATAGGTGATTGAGTGGTTAGGTGGGTGACTAAATGAGTGGGTGAATGAATTCATGAGTGAGTGGGTGATTGAATACATGAGTGACTTGGTGTGTGAGCAAGTGGATTGATGCATGAATGGGTGGGTGATTGGGTTAGAGAGTGGGTGGATAAATGAGGGACATTACCACAGCGCATATGCCAGGCTAGGTGTGTGGATGAATGAGTGGATAGTTGAGTGAGTGGGTGGTTGAGTGAGGTGGTAGATGAGTGAGTGAGTTGGTAGATGAGTGCGTGAGTTGGTAGATGAGTGAATGAGTGGGTAAATGAGTGGATGGGTGGGTGAATGGGTGGGTGGGTGAATGACTACGTGGGCGGGTGAATGAGTGAGTGGGTGGGTGTGTGAGTAGGTGAGTAGGTGGGCGGGTGACTTAATTAGAGGGTGGGCGGGTGACTTAATTAGTGGGTGGGTGAATGAATTCATGAGGACACAGGTTATTGAATTAATGAGTGGGTGGGTGAATGAGTGAGTGGATGGGTTAATGAGTGAGTGGGTGGGTGAATGAGCGGGTGGGTGAATAAGTGAGTGGATGGGTAAATTGGTGAGTGAATTAATGAGTGAGTCAGTGTGCGGATGAATGAGTGAGTGAGCGTGCGAATTATTGAGTGAATAAGTGGGTGAAAGAGTGAGTGGTTGGGCGAGAATGTGAGTGAGTGGGTGACTGAGTGGGTGAGTGCGTTGTATTCAGTAGGCGTGATAGAGTGGGAGGTGCGGGGACTCTCAGTCGGCCTGCCCCTTGTTGAGTTGCGTGTACTCGCCCAGCCCCGACTTGAAACGTGGAATTCGGACCAAGCCCAGGCGGTTTGCAACGCTTTGTACCTGCAGATAAACGTTTGGACGCGTGGAATGAGACACCGGGCGGAGATATGGGGAGGATATGAGACACGGGCGGAGGGAAAGGAGACACGCAGGGAGAAATTCAGCAGCAGCTTGAGGCAAGGTTGCCGCGGGTTTAAATAGCGGCCTAGTTGTACGCCCAACATTCACCGGATTGTAAAAATGCCAGCCATAACAGCTGCATGAGTCACTGTCTTTAAACTCAGCTATTCCCCTCACAAGGTGAGGAGAAGGGGGGGGGACGATGCCAACTCATTTGCAAGCTATGATACAATTCCTTCCTGCAACCTTCATCACGTTACACACCTTGGTTGGCAGGAAATGCTGGTGTCTCGTCTCGTCTCGCCTCTCGTAACTCCCGCCTCCTTCTGCCTTTCATCTCCTCTCATTTAGCTCTCTGTCTGTTTGCTTTCATTTTGTTCTCGTATCCTCATTATTCTTGCCCTTCTGTGTGAATGTCTTACATTTTTAGGAGCTTTTATTTTTATTTCTCGTTGTTTTATTATTTTATATACGCGGGTCTGGCCTGGCTATGCGATTGCAGCACTCTGGGCTTCCCTGTCCCTGCCGCCTGCTGTCAGCCTCCCCCATCTGCTCACCAGGCTGTCCCCTGGTCGCTGCCAGCGTGCTGCCAACGTGCTGCTGTCGTGTTCCGTGCCACTGGGCTGCCGCCATCTCTATCCGGTCTGCTACCAGTCTGCAGGCTGCTGCCATCTCTACCTTGGCCTGACCTGGTCCTCGGGCTGCTGTTGTTTCCACCTGGCCTGATCAAGATGCGAAGCGTCAGAAGCTACGGGCGCTGGCTGGGGGAGTTTTCCTGCTTTGCAGCGAGCTCCGAGACGTCCTGCACTACCCCCCTGCTGGTGCCCTGATAAGGGCTGTCTGTGACGAGCTCTGACGTGGCGATGTCGTCATGGTGGGACGACTTCCTCCTCGTGCAAAACACATCGCCGTCACGGGACAACTTCGTCACCGAGTAATCACATTGTCATTGTGGGAGGCTTCCTTGCCAAACAACCGCATCTACATCGCAGGGCGGCTTTCTTGCCGAGTGACCACATCGTCAATGTGGCACGGCGATGTTGTGGCTTGCCAAGCTGCAGTTGACTTTTCATAATGATTGTTTATTCGCGTTGAGTGTTTCTTAGTTTACATTTTAATAGTCGTTCTCCTGGTGATTTACTGTCTGGCCCCTGTAGTACATTGGGTCTCCTTAGGAGATTGCCCTACATCCATTATGGGGCGGGTCGTAACACGATTATCTCTTAACTCATGCATAAGACCTCTTTTTGACCAACCAGACATTCGCTTTAAAGGCACCCGCAAGCAAGACTATCGAACTAGTACTGCTCAATGTGTGTTTACTTTCCAGTCAGGCGTTGGCAGTGAATTAACTCATTAGCAATCATATGCAATCATTGTTTCACATTGGGATCCTGGGATGGGATGCGCATTATACATTTGACTTATTATTATTGTTTGGACCTTCTTTTTTGACGAAGACCTGGCATAGGCCTCTTTATTATGTTTATCTTAATAAGGCCACCCCTTCAGGTTTCATGAGAAGCCCCAGTTTTCTGACCGGGGAGGGGGGGGGCGGTGGTGGTCTGGCACTAATTCACGCCAAATCAACAAACCTTAGTCCTATGTCAATACCAATATTTTGGCCATTTGAGCACCTGGCATTGGTCTGGAAACCTAGTTGGGACCAGCCAATGTTAATGTCGTTGTACCGCCCTCCCACGCTGACCCTCACTTTATTTTTTGGATTATCTGAGTTCCTGTCCACGGTGTGTACTTGCATTGAGCGCATTCTGATTCTTGGTGACTTCAACCCACATTTTGATGCATCACCTAAACAACCAGCTCAATATGTTTTGGCCATTCTAAATAGTTTTGGCTTCGCTCAGAATATTCAAAAGCCCACTCACTCTGGTGGATAGACCTTAGAAATTGTGTCTTCTCTTGGGATCCAGGAAATTCTGATCATTCAATGGTTATCTTTAATGTCCCTTTTCCCCTCGTGGTTCACCAACTAGAGACACAACTTCATTTCGTAACATTACGTCCATTACCTCAACTTTTCTTATGGAGGCCCTCTCCCGCTCTCCCCTCACTCAGAAATGTTATCTCCCTCTCAAGGCGTCTGCTCAATTACATAACTCTGCACTGCCACTTATGTTTGACCATTTAGTACCTCTCCAATCTCGTGGATCTCTTCTAGGAAACATTCTCCATGGTGCAATGCTAATATGAGGATACAAAAAGCCATTGTTTTTCATGCTGACGTACATGGAGGAAGCCTGGTCTCACCATACATCACCAGCTTTTAAAGTACAGACCCATGCCTATTTGGTCAACATTTAAATTGCTAAAGCATCATATAGTTCCAGTTGCATTGCAGTGAGCAAGGGTAATGCACAAACCTTATTTCCGACCATCAATCATTTTTTGCATAAGGACAAACATTTTAATTTTCCTTGTTCCACAGACCACTGTACTTCTTTTTAGCATTCCTTCGAGGTAGACATTTCCACTATCTGTTCCCAATGAATATCTGCCCCCCCCCCGTTCTCCTTCTATCTGATTTACCCCAAGCCCACTATTATAACTGCCAAACTCACTTCTTTGATTGTTGGTTCTCGATCAACCTGTTGTCCACTGGATCCTTTCCCTTACAGACTGCTATGGGATAACTTTTCCACATTGGTCCCCTGTGTTCTTGGCCTTTTCAAAAAGTCTTTTGAGACTGATATAGTTTCTGGTACTTTTAAAATGGCGGCAGTCACCCCTCTGTTAAAAAAGCCAGGTCTTGACTACAAGCTTACCAAACATTTTTCCCAACTTCCTTCTCTAAGATCCTGGAATGTGCTGTTGCCTCTCAATTATATCAGCATCTTGCCATGCACAACTTATCCGACCTCTTTCAATCAGATTTCAGGGCTGTACACAGCATTGAGACAGCTCTTGTGAGGGTGATCAACGATTAATTGCTGCAAGCAGTCAGGGGTAAGCAAGGGTTATTGTCCTGATAGCCCTTAGTGCTGCGTTTGACATCATTGACCATGGGATCCTTCTTGAATGATTGGAACACTCAATGGGGATTTCTGGTCTTGCATTACAGTCTTTTCACTCCTATTTGTAGAATCGCGAACATTATTTTACAATTGATGGTGAAAAATCTCCAATTATATTGGTTCAATGCAATGTTCCACAATGATCAGTACTTGGCTCCCCTCTATTCAATGCCGATATGGCACCTCCAGGCACACTGCTATGACATCTGGGCTTTCCATATTACTTCTATGCTGATGACACACAAATGCATGGCCGCATAAGTTCCAATTGTGCAAGGGAAATCTCTTCATTGTCTGCATCATTATCTCTGGTGAGATCTTGGGTCAGAATAATTTTCTCTTATTAAATGCAGACAAGACCAAAGTTCAAATTAAGTTATCTAAAATCAGTTAACTATTTTTGTCTATAGATTGTTATAATATATGTTCATCACGGGAGGTCAGAAGTTTTGGTGTAGAATTTGATCATCCATTGCCATTTGAGGCACATGTATCGAGCAGTCAGAACAATATTTTTCCACCTCAGAAATATTGCCTGGCTGCGTCAATTCCTCTCACCTGATGATTTACAGAGTTTGGTCCATGCATTTGTGTTATCCTAACGACTGTTGCAACGCATTACTGATTGGGATTCCGAATAAGGTGCTTGGTAGAGTTCAGCTCGTTCAGGATGCTACTGCTAGAATGCTTACACGAAGAACATTTCACGAGCACATCATACAATTTATCTTGTTCTTGCATTGGCTACCAATCAAATATCGAATTGATTGTAAGGTGCTGCTATTGACCAACAAGGCTGTCAATGGGTTAGCCCAGCATTACTAACACCAATTAAGTCCTTGAGATATTTTTGTATCTCCTACTTAGAATTCCGAGGGCAAGGACCTATTCTTTGTCAATGCAGCTCCAAGACTATGGAATGCGTTACCTCTGATAACACTGTTCTATAATTTTTAAGACGTCGTCTGCATCGAAGATGAAATGTGCTACATTTTATGGTTCTTTCGGTAAAGTCACATAGATAGAAAAATAACAACTGTAAAATAATACAAAATAAAGTGAATACAAAATAATAAAATATCACGACGATTCGATTGCAACACAAGTGGTCATCATCAGGAACAGGGAGGTTAGCCTCCCTTTATAACTCACTTATACTCCGCCATTCCCAAGTCAAGGGTCGTATATAGTGACCCCGTAGCATATCTTGAAAACGAGAGCAAATCAACAATTTTAAGCATAATTGTCATTCTCAATGACCTAGAATTTGTAAAGTTGGACTACAATTATTTTGGAAGCATTTTGGCTGTAGATCCGTGTAATTGGCACTGGTGTTGGTCATTCGTAGGAATCGAACTCGGGTCGCCAGGTTCGTATTGCAGCGCGCTAATCAGTACACCACTCACTATGACACACACTTACCCTCACCTGGCGTCGGGAGCTCAGTATCCACAGCACGAGAAGACCCAGGCAGAGTGCGGAGCAACAAACTGCAGCCAACATCCCCACGTTGGGAATCTGCACAGATAAAACAAAGATCCCCCGTCTAGCCACAACAGACGGTCAGGGCATGTGCGTTTAGCGAGTAGCATCAATTATGAAGGGCAGCACGGCACACGGCAGGTTGGGTGGACCACAGAATTCTACTGTAGAGCCATAGACCACCGAGAAATGAATGCCCTTTGCTAAGCCCTGCACGTTTACCTTGCGAATTTCGGTGGGGCGGGCGCCCTCACAGGAGGCACACAACCCCCAAATACTATCATCACACACAAACATACGTGCCAAAGCAGCCATGCAAGTAATGATAAGCAAAAAAAATGAACCTTCATCTGGGGGTTCATTTGTCGGCTATGCAGGCACAAGCACGATATGGAAATGGAATACACATGCTGTTGTTTATCGCTCTCTCTCTCTCTCTGCCACTTGATTAATGTCAAGACCACCATTCCCCATACATCGGGCAAAGCCAGTGGGACCGACACTTCTCACTGGAAGTAATTTAAAAGCTAATTCGTAGTTAGGGGGCGGTTGAGGGAGGAAGGGAGGAGTGAGATTACGTAATTCGTGCTAGTTATTAAAAGAAAAACCCGCAAGACCCCTCCCCGATAAGTGGCAAATCAGGGAGCTAGGGCAGAAATCAGGAAGCGGGAGGTATTGGGGTTGGAAAAGGGAGTCTGGTGGAGGGTGTGCTGGAGAGTGGATGTGTGTGGAGGATATCAAGGCATTGTTTTCCTCTGGAACACACACACCTTTTGAGTTCGAGTGCCTCCGTGCCGGGCTCACCAGGTCGAGGTACCCCAGAAAGCTCCTCTAAGCCCAGCCAAACCCGAGGTGAGATAATAAACGTTCCACAGTCTGTGCCATTGTTGCCTTTATATCGTTTATGATGCGCTGTGTGTGTGTGCGTGAGTTAGTGCTGGTGTTAGGCAGGTAGCTAACTCTATGAGAGGTCTCAGCCCGAACGGGAGGCCCTCAGTTTAAAGCAACCTTCCCTGCCATCAGCGAGGCATGCAAAAGGGTCCTCATTCCAAGGAACCGTCTCCCTGAGCCGTGGGAAGGGCCTATAGCCTCGGGTGCAGGGAGTATCCGGGTGTGTGTGTGTGGGGAAAGAGGACAACTTTCGGGTGTGCTTACGTCACCTGCTGAAGGACCACCATCATGTAACTGTTTGCCTCTTTCAGGCGAGACCAGGAACGGCCGCGAAAGGGGGGAAATACAGACTTCCCGTGGGTGTGGTGCAAGGAACCTACTTTAGGCAGTAATCTCACTGCACTCATAAGGACACCCGCCCACCCCTGTAGCGATACACACATATACATGCCCACAAGCAAATAATGGTTAAGATTTCCATATACCCCAACAACAGCTACCATTCACCACTTAGTGGCAGTGATGGTACCTCGACGCTTGTGCCAGGCTAGGTGCACCTTAAGGGCCTAGTGAATTGTCGAAAGCTTGCTGGCAGGAAACTAAGCAAGTTGCTGGTTATTTATATATATATGCAGCGACATACACATACACGTATAGAGATAATCACCTACATAAAGGCGCACATATAAACCGCCGATTGGAAGGGCACCTCCGAATTCAACAATTCGGGGTGTGGGTGGGGGTTGGAAAATGAACCCTCATGTGAGGCCTTGAGGTGTGGATAGTTGCCCAGACGAGATGTCTGATGACGAACCTGTGCCGTACGCTGGTGCACTCGGAGGAAGGGGGGTTATAGTACCCCCAGGAGGGCCCGGCAGCATGGCAGAGGGCCACGCGATGCACCCCCGGAGGAATTTCTAGCAGAGACTCGCGATGGTGGCGCACGAAGGGCCCGCAATCATCTGTCCTCCCATTGTTGTTGGAGGGCGATTGCCTCCAACATCTTTCAAGAACCTCCTCCACAAAGGCCAATCTTGACATTACTGGTACCATTCATCAGCAATTCCACTCAGCTCCACATCTTCCTGCACTGCACAAGTCCATCTCTTCTCCGGCCCACTCCACGCCTGTTTAGCGCCCTCTATCCGACCAAACAGAAGTTGTTTGAGCATGCACTGGCTGCATATGTGGGCTACATCTACACTCTCACACACACACACACACAAAGACCAAAACTCCCCCAGCCATGCACGCTGGAATAACCACGCTAATAAACAAGCCTTTTGATTATTTGGCTGCTGCTATGAATTCCCACATGGGGCTGGTGATGATGACATCAGCCTCTGCGATGATATCATCATGTGTGCGGTGTTGTATATATGTATTTTCCAAAAACGAACTTTAAAGTGATATTGTCTATGTCACGCAGGTAGTGGATGTGTTTTATACATTTTCAGTCCAGTGGTTCAGAGGAAACCAGTTATAGAGGGGAAAACCAGTCTGGGTGGGTTATGGACTCCCTATAAAAGGCAGCTCAGTTGGTCGAGGAGGTGGCAGAAAGCAGCAATTTGACAGCCCTCTACCAGCGCACAAGCAGAATTAGCGAGAGGGGAGGCTTATCTCGCAGCTGTGAGTATGGTACACATTCAGTAGAGGTGTACTTTGCCTAAATCATGTGGTGAAACCATGTGCACAGAGACTTAACATGGGGGTTTCTCCGTATCTGTCTCACGTGGCTTGCAGCGGTCCCGGGTGGAACAAGGTGCAGAACAGCAACAGTGCGACTGCACAGCAGGAAAGCAGGTGTTGGGAGGACCAGGAAAGATATGTAATCTGGGAGATAAACCCTGGCTCTCAACCTCCTTCAACTTGGCATCGGCCTGAGGCTGTGTAGCAGCGTTTGCTGTGGTTGCAGAATGTGTGTGTGGGCTGGGTGCATATTATATAGCTGTGAGTAGTATATGGCGTAATCACATATACTCGTATTGATGTACTTTAAGTACGGTGGTGCTGAAGGCCGTGGATGTTGTGGCATTAAGGCAGGGTTTCTGTGTTTCATTGCTGGGGGTGTGGCTAAATCTCCACAACCACACTTCCCATAGTATAATGCGAGTGCAAAATAAAGAGCTCTAACCCCTAAACATGTGTAAGCCTTGGATTATTGTGCCCTTGCCACCCAACAATCACCAACATCCCCACACCATACGTCCTCGTGGTGGACTTAATTACATTTGTGATGCCATTATTAGTTGACCCACCGTCAGTCTATTTCGAATGTCATAGATGTGTACACACATACAGTACATGGGTTGATTTAATTCCAAGGGTTGAAGGTAACCACATAAGGGGCAAACCAATTAACATTAGAATGAAAAGTTGACCAAAGAGGCTTTTAATCAAAGGGACCAACTAAAGACAATGGACGAAAAGGCGAGATACATCCATAGCTAGGCCAGAGGCGCACCCCTGTTGCTTTAGCAGTGCCTCTTGCAAGGCACACTAAGCATCTGAGCTATTCACTATTTACAAGTATTGGTGTTTCAGAGTCGATGTTTATAATGACAACCACCGCATATGAATATTCTTAAATACGACATGAAACGTGAACGTTTATGATAGTGTGGTGCTTTTGGTGCTAGCCTACCTCAAGGCTCACCTTTACTGCCACCACTTATATTTTTGGTCTGCCAAGTCGCCCGTGTATGTGGGTCGAGTCTAGTGAGAGAGCAATGAATACCAAAACTGAGGCAATTTAAGAGGGTTGGTTTGTCTTTAATTTGTTGATAAGCTCCCCTTGCCTGCTTTCACACCGTAGCGTATATCTGGACAACTAGGTGCGCTTAAAGTATACAACAGGACGACCCCTTTTGTCCCCACGCTTTCCCGAACAAACACACCGTTAAGGCACGTTTATAGCCTTCGATAGCGTTCAACAACCACTTTGGGGCTACAAAGAAACCAGATTTCGAGGCGACACTCGACGTTGCTCGCTATGGGCCAATGCCAGGCTACCACCATCGTCTGATGAAGAGAGCCCGGCGCCTGCTGGCTTCTCTCCACAATAGGGTAGCATCAGAGGCAGCTTCCCTGCACTCCTCTTCTGCCCATCCCTGCTCCCCACCGGGTGTCCAAGCTGGACGCTTGGATGTTTCCAGAACCGCTCCTGTTCCCTGCTGGCTGGAGCTCGAGAGCAGAGATAGCTGGGATCTCCAACCATTCACCCTCAGCTATACTCTGGTGGGGGTGGGGTAGTCCGTATTTTTTGGAAGCCGGCCACACTAACGATGATTGACACCATGTTTGCTGGAGGTGTTTTCTAATTTTCAATCACCCGTTTTCCCGATGAAAGGTGGACCCCACCCTCCATTCTATTCTGCCTTGCTACTTATTGGTGCCATGTAACAATTCGGATGTGTTGTTATTTGATGATGCAGCTCAGGATGAAAAGGTTTCAATTACTATTTAACATATTCCCATTAACAATCACTGTTATTCATACATAATTTCCATAAAGTCTGGGTTAAGCATCTGAAACTTGACTATGATAATGATGGAATTGTGGAATTTCGTGTTGAAGCGCTGAACCCGAAAGATAATTAACGGCAATAGATATATATAGTATTGCATAGTCTTATCGTGATGGTGGGGTTTGCATGTTCCAATGACCCCTGGAGTCTTGTGCTTTTGGTAGGGCCTCCCTTGGCGCATAGGTCTGGGGGGAGGTTCCAGACAAATAACAATAAAAAAGCCCCTCATGAATGGTTAAATACAAAAATCAGAGAACATCGCCTAGACAAGGTATTCCGGAAACCCCTGCTGCAACCAGGTGTCCACTGGCAAATGCCTGGTGGCCGGGTGACCAAAGTAACCCGGTCGAGCCCAGCCCGACCGAAATGGTTACGTGACGCCAATCTGTGGGCCCACCATTCTCAGGACGACTGGTGAGGGGCTGGTGCGATGCCAGTATGGCAGGGGGAGGGATGGTCTTAGATGGACTAGATCTTGGCAATGGAAACTCGCTGTTGGGACGTGGAATGACACGATTCTGGGGTTGGGGGGGGGGAGCCAGAGCTGGTGGAGGAGGTGGAAAGTTACCGATTACATTTCGTCAGTCTCACCTCCACAAACAGCATTGGCACTGGAAA